CATGTTTCTTTTTTACCCTTGGGTCAAGGTTAAAGGTTAAGGTCGATTTCAAGTTCATAAGTCAAGGTGATTTTGTTAATAGCTAATATCAACATTTTATTCAGGTTACCAGTGACCTTGATCTAAGTTTCAAGGTCAATGGTAAAAAGATCTGCATGCTTCAGTAGAAGTTCTTAATTCTGCATGAACATCAAACACTCAAGTATACTGTCTTTTAATACATTGTGTGCGGTCGCATGTGCATGCACGTCCATGTATTTACTTTTGATAGTAGTATAATGTAGGCAATCCTCATATCTATTCATATTTGAAATTTCACCCTGTATTATTGAGAACCAAGAAAGTTGTAGGCATTTAAAGTTTTAGCCAATCAGATTGCAGCACACGTGCATGTGCATGCGTTCATGATTATTCTTATATATTATGCTGTAGATCTTCATAATGTAAGACTATGTTCAAAATTTCAAAGGATTTTGTCAGAAAACAAAATAGATATTTAGACTTTAAGTTTCAGCCAATCGCAGCGAAGGGCACCTGCATGCGCGTGAGATCTTGCTATTTTGACCATATCATCATGTCTATACTACTTTAATATCCTTATATTATGAGTTTCAAAGCATTTCATCCAATATTTAAAAAGTTACAACTAAATTTATTATATTTGTCATTTCACGTGTTACACGTGCGCGCACCTGCACGCACGTGCGCGCAAAATGACCTTCGTTCGGCACATCTACATAACATACCTAGTGACCCTAAAAAGGTTTCACCTAGATCGGATGAGTAGTTTACGAGAACACTCGCGGACAAAAAAGTACCGGAGAACAAAGAAAAAATTCAGAAAAAGTAAAAACAATATGTTCCCAAACTTCGTTTGGGGAACATAATTAAAGGCATATTCTAGTGCTTGAGTGTAAGGCAATTTGGCCCATAGGGAACAGTGTAGTTCTCTTACTTAATTTGTGTATAAATACTAACCCGTAAATATCGTTGAATTTTTTAACCACTGGACTTATAAGAAAAGGGGGGCTATTGTTCATAAACACAGATAAACAGTGTCTTTTTTACCTTTCCATGCAATAGAAAGGGTGCTCATGATGTTAAAAAGTTACAACTTAGTCCTATTGAGTTAGTTCATCATTCCTTCCGGTCCTTTTGAATTTCCAAATAGAAAAGTAATGATTTTGCGGTGACATCGAAATTTGATAAATATATTAACATTTTTAAAAATCTGTGACACGCATATGTGTGAAGGGTGTGATATTCAGAAAATATAACTCAAATGTAGGACAATCTTAGTAAGAAAAAGATATGTTAATGATTTAAAAATTCTTTTTGGGTGAAAAGAAAAACTACACGATGATCGGTGACAGTAACGTAAATATCGATTTCTGCTGTAAAATGTTATTATGTTCCCCAAACGGAGTTTGGGAACATATTGTTTTTACTCTGTTTCTTATTAAGGTCTTCCGTCTTCACGGAAGACCTTATAGTGATTCTACTGTTTCTTATTATTAAGGTCTTCCGTCTTCACGGAAGACCTTATAGTGATTCTACTGTTTCTTATTATGTCGCCCCGAACGAAGTCGGGGACGACATATTGATATTGTACGCATGTTTTTTTTTATCCAGGCTGTTTCTCGGAGATGGCTGGGCCAATCTTCCTGAAACTTTCCTCAAAGGACGATCACTGGTTGTAGTTGTGCAGTGAGGTCATTCAATTCCAATATGTCTACCGTTGCCATGGAAACCTGTAAAAAGCGACAAATTTTGTCCGAGAGTGTTCTCTCTGGTCCCTTAAACGTTCGTCATGAAACTTTTCTTATTTTAAGGATTAGTCTCTGTAGTTGTGTACCTCGCATTTAAAATTTTCAAATAATTGATTATTGCCATGGAAACCAGGTGAGAGTTAAAATTCTTTAATTTCCATTTTCTCAATAACTACTCAGTCAATCGTTTTGAAACTTTCAATGTTTATTCCTTGCAATGGGTCAAAGTGATTTCTACTTTCAAAATAATTGTAATGAGTCGCTCACGGTTGCCATAGAAACGAAACAGAAAAAAAGATTCAGATGTACACATGTGTTCTCCAAGGTCTAGGTCAAGGGTCAAAGTTCGTCGTATCCAATAAAAGTTCTTTTCACAAGGATTACATATTTGAAATACGAAAGCCCTAGTACTTACTGTTCAAACCTTATGGCTATTTACTATGTTCAAGACGACCCCTCCCCCCCTTTGAAGCACACAGCCAGGTAGAATACACAGATATAACATATACAACTTACAAGTAACTTTTTAAAATCTTCATTCATAAAATTCATTTCCCGTCATGTGATATTTTGCCATCATTCATTCTCCTTCTGTTTTTTCTCTTGAATTTATAAATATTTTATTTTATCTATATAAAAAAAAATAACGATTGTCAGCTGCATTTATTATCATTTCGCGTTTTCTTGTATATCTATCACTTGTATATTATTCATTTCATTAGATAGTGCAAGTATAAATTAAAAGAATTGGTACGTCATTTCATAGTTTTTATTCATTCAAAAATCTTTTGATCCGCTCCTGAAGGTTTGCGAAGTCTTGATCACCACTGTATACAAAACATTCATCTCGCCGATAATGTTCATGATTCCGCTAAACTGAGAAAGTTTACACATGATTTATCATCATTTAACATACAACAGCTCTCTGCAATGCAGAAATACTCGAATTGATGGTGGCATGTCAGATTCGTTTTTCGGTAGAAACTCTACAATGTAAGTAGGCCGGTTCGATTTGCTCTTTTGAATATCGGAGATAAGTCTTCTGCTTTATGAAAACGTATTCGTTTTGTCAAAAATTACTTCCGGTAGGTCTTCTGCCTCTTCCACCCAGCGGGCAGAAGAGACTGGAAAGCAAGATGTCTGAAGATGGCGGGTTAGTAAGATTGTTGAAAGATTTTTTTTTAATTTATGTTATTACTACAGTCATTTAGGGTATTTCGGGTCACTTTTTACATTTCTACTGCATTTAATTAAACAAACAAGATTATTAATGGTTCCTGGGCATTATTATTAAGTTTATTGTTTGATTGAAAAGACTTACAAATCAAATTGCGATTATCTTTGATAAAACGACCGCAGTGGGAGCTTTATCTAGACCTCCAATTTAAGGAATTGCGGGTCACTTCCGGTTATTTCGAGTCACTTTATAAACGTGTGCAAAACAAAACAAAAATTACATTTAATGTTGTTTTGCGACCAAAATTAGTTACTTTTGCTAATATCCAATTGTTATTTCAGCAGAAATTATTTTTTTTGTGGGGGAAATCGCTCACGGTGAAAGCTGATATCAACACACTATATTGACCGTGTGTAATGTGGGGCGGATCTAGCTTGAAGACCATAAAATTATGACCTTTAGATTGTTAAATTCTCTCGTAACATTCAGAGACAAACATTTTATGTCTTTATTTATTTGAATAAAATGACTTTTTAACAAAGAAAAAAAGTAACAATGGAAACACCTGGTTTTGAATAACGGGAAAATGACTAGGAATGTTAACATGGTGAAAGGCTTTAAAAAAAATTATACGGTAACAAAAAAAAGTAAATTCGTCCTACTTGGACTCATATAAAATATAAAAAAAATCTATAGATCTACAAAATAAACAAAATAAAAATATAGTACCTTGATACTACAATATAAAACACCCCCTCACTTTCTAGTGAAATGAACTTTGATACAAAGAATCATATGTGATGCATGTACAATGCTTTTCTGGCAACCTTGTGGGGTGACTTGTACTTTCTTGATATTTGTTTGGCCAATTTCTGAGCAGGACTTTTAGATGGTGTCCAAATTTCCTTCCTCTTTTTAGTTCTTCCCATTTTTCTGAAAATAAGCAATGTGCATGTAGGGGCTTAGTATGTTTATTCGCCACTTGTCTATATGTACATTCATGAAATCATCTGAAGTTTTAATAAAGTCATTGAAAAAAAAAACAAGAAAAACTGCTGCAATAAAAAAAGGGGCGCCCGAATGAATCCGCCACTGCAAGCATTCACCACTACTGTAAACATGGTAAATGTACAATATTTTTGCACATCACTTTACCTCATAACAGCACGAATCTAGGTCGCAGCAACTTTATTTCACACATACAAAAAAATGGATTTTTCTTTTTAACAAAATTATTTTTATAATGTTTAATATAGTATAACAAATTTTCTACATAAAGAAAAGCTATAATCATGATAATATTGAAAAAGCACAGTGTAAACATTGACATGTGACGTACCAAAACACGAAGCGGTAGAAACACACGTGACCCGAAATACACTAAACCGAAGGGGGGTAGGAATACACCACTACCTCAATAGATTTTATTGCAACCAGAATTTGTTTAGTTGCATTAGAAAGCGTATAAATTTTCCTTTCCAGCAGTATATAACATGTATTGTTTTATCAGACGTAAACTTCACATCATCGAAGAAAAAAATATGTCTCCGTTTTTGACATGCAAAATTCTCTGATCGGGAAACATACGCCAATTAATCAACGTATTAATTAAGACATCTATTTTCAATATTTTCCTTTGTAACTGTGTGAATGCATATAATAAACCTTGCTGGACGTGACTGCAATAGCTTCTTGTTTTTCTTTTACGTTTTGTGCGAACTGTGTCAAGAAAAATGTGGACACTTCTCATTTATTCATATGTATGCGAGTTTCAAGTGATGTTGTTATTTTTTATAATGCTAAATTAAGGCAATATGTGATTGGTTTTTCCATTACTAGTATATTGATCTCTTTGTGATTTTGTTTATATTTTAATATATGTTTATAAGCATCAAGAAGATGATTGTTTTTCATTAAATTTTATACAATAAAACAGTTTTTTTTACATGAATTAGGTATTCTTTGCTTTATTTTGAAAGAAGATGACAACTTTGGTTTTTATACCAATTATTCATTGTCAAACTGAAGTCTTTGATATGGTACAAATGCAGAGTTTAAATATTGGCCAATTGCCGTGTTAGTAATTGTCTCTTTAATTGACCTTTTGCATCATTTTCACACAATGGATGAATTAATGGAACCTGTTGAGGGTCATTGTCAAAATGCTCGTCAAGTTCATCTTGGTTTAGGATACAAATGTTCTGTAGAATGCAAGCTGTAACGATAGCCTTGACAATATAAGAAATGTCATTCATTTCAACAAATTGTAGTCTCCGAAATCTACCTTTTAACAATCCGAATGAATTTTCAATGATTACTCTGGTGCTTGATAAAATTTGATTGAACTTAATCTGATCCCTAGTAAGATTGCCTCTATTTCGGTATGGAGTAATCAGCCACCGCTTGCAAGGATATGCCCCATCACCTAGTAGATGGCACTGACGACAAAGAATAGGGCCTCTTTGCCTCAATGGAGAGTTTTGAAAAACACGAGCATCATGCACTCGGCCCGGCCATCCACAGAATAGGTCTGTGAATCGTTTATCTTCTCTGCACACTGCTTGGAGAATAACTGAATGAAACTTTTTCCTATTGAAATAATCATTTGAGTGTCCACTAGGGGTTTTTATACGTATATGTGTTGAATCTATTGCTCCAATCACACCAGGGAAGTTCTTTTTCAGCTCAAATCCATCATTTACAGTCTGCACATCATCTGGCCAAATCACAAACTTTTGAAGAAAGTATTTTTGAAAAACATCTAACATCCTTCTGTTGTGGGAATGGAATGTAGACTCGGAAACATTGAATCGATCTGCAATAGACCTTATTGTTTCTTGTGATCCTAAATACCATAGCATCATCAATAAATCTTTTTCATGGGAAATTTGAGGTCTTCCAGCTGCTGGTTCTCTTGGTAGTAGTTCTGGAATATGCTGAATATTTTCCAAAATAGCTTCAAATGTATCTTTGGAAACACGAAAGAAGGTCTTGAAAGTGTCGAGGGAATATCTTGAAACAACATCTTGTACAAAGTGTTCCACTTTATATCGTTTTCTTCGCTCCTGTCTGAAAACAGTTTAAAAAATTACTTGCATATTGGTTTGTAGTTAAATTCAGTTGAATAGCATGAAATATTTTTTAAGGAAATCATGTAATAATTCTAGGTGCTATAGTGACAGCTAGGTCTTATAATGTGGAATACTTTTAATTTAAATCAGATATTAAGATAAGGTTCAGACAAATGATTCATAATATTGCGTGTGTTGTCTCGTAACACGTTTTTAAAAATTAAACCTTCATGAAAACAAAAACAGTTACGATAATTTGTGAATAAAATAGCACGCAGTGTCAAAAAAGCTCTATAACTGCCCCTTACATAGTATTGCAAGCTGCATACAGTGTAACAAATGAAAAATCCTCATCTGGAATGTCGAAATCTTCATCTTCAGTAACAATAATTATTGCAGCGCTAAGTAAAGTTCGTTTCGACGACATATTGATTCAGAAGATGACTGTTCGATTTAACAAGAGAAACCGGAAGTTAAATTATGATTCTTTCGTCTTCTGGAAGGTGCAAATCGAACCGGCCTAGTGAAAGAGGGAAATTTCAGAGACCCACTGGCGTTGCTATACACAAAATAATTCGGCTGATCTTCTTCATAGATTACATTTCCCAAGCTTTTATGATAGGAAAGATACTGCCAATTATCAAGTATGAGACTCAGTTCAGTACATCTGCCCAATTTCTTTTATGCAATTCTGCAAATTTAGGAACTTGTAATTTTCCTGCACTACTTTCTTCTCCTACCAATTTTAAAAATAAAATGGGATGTACCCAATTAAGGTCTTCCGTTTCCAATGGAAAGGACTGAAACGATTCGATGGTTGTTCAAAGTTAGCTAATGGACCATTGTTTTAGTGATGATAAAAATGAAAGTCGATCTTGTCCAGTACGGGGCGACATATGCTATTGCTTGCAATAGCAGACTTTCTAGTTATTCTTTTTATTATTTTTTTTCCAAAATTTTGTGCATGCAATTTCTCGGAGACTACTGGATGGAATAACATGAAATTATCGGAAAAGATGTGTCGTAACATGAACTTGATCTATCTTAGCGATTTTTTTGAAAATTCCCTTTTGGTGCCAAGTTACGGGACATTTCCTGATTTTAAAATGACATTTTGTCCGCGGTTAAACTCAAGAACGGTAAAAGATATCAATGTGAAACTTTCAGGGATTATAGATTGTGATATTCCCCTTCCAGGACGCAACCTTTCGTTCGTCGTCAGTACTTCCGGTCGTTACGACAAGGGAATTTAAAAAATCAAATTTTTATAACTTTTTTGTTTTTCTATATTTTTCATTTATTTTTGGAATGTTAATAGAGACTCTTTTATTGATGCTTACTATATAATTTGTTTGAATATTAATAAATTAAAACTCTAGATATTAGAACATTCCTATTTGTCGGTATAAAAGTCGATCAGATTAACCGGAATTCTATTTTACG